CAAGTCATGCCCCGGGACCAAACATCCGACTTCCCCCCGTACGCAGCCTTGTTTTATCACTTCCCGTGACCCTCCTGCACGGACAGATTTAACAGGGTCCAACATCGTTCGCCAAGCTAGCAGGGAGTGAGGGAGAGAGGAGTGGACAGGTATGACAGAGGAGGGGTCGTACTGGAAGCAGAGATGAACGTGTCATCAGGGAGGGTTGGCCCAACAAGAGTCTCCTGCTGAAGCGCAGCATGTGAGGGCGTCGAAACCTTCAAGGCAGATCACCTGAGGCGCGTTGTTGAACGCAAACGTCTTCATCTCAGCTCCAGCCCTGCCCATCTCCTTCACCTCTATTTTTCTTTGTGCCTCCTCCTTCCTCCCTCCGTTCCTCCCTGTGTTCCTCCCTCCTTCCTCCCTCCTTCCTCCCTCACAGCCCGACACGCTCTCGATCGCTTCCCTCAAGATCGTCCTTCTCCTCCACTTCTCTTCTGCCTTCACCTTCTCGGCCCAAAGGCCCAGGCTGCAAGTCCCACCAAGAGAGCAGCCGCTCCCGCTGTAAGGAAGCCCTGCCAGCCAGTCAGCTGAAGCAAACACAACCTCCTAGCTCGCCTTGCTCTTTCGATCCCCTGCCTTCTTCTGCGCCTCCTGCAGCTTCGACTTGAATGCTGTCACGTCGTCTTGCAGACCCTGACGAGCTCCCTGTGAGATTTCTCCCTCCCTCTCATCACCATTCGCTATCTCATTCCATCCCATCCATCCGCCCCCTCCCGTCCCAGCCTCCGACAAGAAATCCTTGTTCATACGAATCTCCCGGTGCTGCTCTTACCTCAGCCAGGTCGGAGACGTCTGAGTTCTCGTACTGCCAGCAGTCGTGAGGACGTAGCAAGGAACTGGTTCAATCACTGACCTTCTTCGCCTCCTCCGACAGCTTGTTGGCTCGATCGTTGAGGTTGTCAAATTTTCTTCCATCCTTCGAATCTCGTAGGAGCGTGACAACCCTTCGTCCTTGGACGGAAGACAGGGCAAGCGCATGGGAGTTCTTCGAGATGAGAAGCGACGGAGAAAATGCGAGGTTGGATTGAACTCTGAGCGCGCCAGTTGGGGAAAGGAGAACGAAAGTGGTAAGGAAGGCGAGTTTTCCAGATAAATGCAGAGATTTCATGTTTGCAGCGAACAACGACACCTGAATCAAATGTCAAGCAACGAAAACCAGTCAAGGGAAATGAGCTGTGATGTTGTGAGATCGACATGCAATGAGGGCATAGAATTTCCTCAAAATTTCCAGCAGAACACGTGTCGTCGGGGAGTCAGAAGTCAGATCCGTAATCACTCCCATCAAAGTCATCACAATCAAGTTAGTACTATCGAACTGTTACAGGATCGTCTGCTTGCTTGATCTTGCTGGCTACGATACATCTCACTGCTTGATCTCTCTTTACAGATCTCTCCATCCTCGCCTAAGCGTTCAGTCAGGATGATCGGAGAGATTCATGCATGGCTCGACTGGTCCTGCACGATACCAGCATGCAGCGTTGCTCTGTTTGTTGTTCTTGTCATGGCACCTTCTTCTTCTCCTCCTCCTTCCCCTCCCTCCCTCCTCGAAGCATGCCGGCCGCCTGGGGGGACTGATAACATGGGGGTGGGGGTACCGCTCAATCAGATCCAGCCAGGGAGGGGTCATGGTATTGTCTCTAATACCAACTTGACTTCAAAATCTGGGGTGGGGGTATCATTATCAGACGGAGGGGTGGGGTCCTGTCGCTCTAGAACTCTCCACTTTGAATGTAGGGCAGGGGGTCCGGTTTCCTTGCTAGAAATCGGACCTATAGAAAGGGGTGGGTGAAAGCACATGATAGTAGGGGTGGATATATTCAGAGCTTGCACGAACAAGGGTAGGGTGGATTGTGACGAACGTTTAGCCAAGCAGCACCAGGCAACATAGCTAGCGTCTGAACTTCTAAAAATATTTTTATCCATATTATAGTAATAGAATTTAATGGTACAATGTCTTGAGCTAACTGATAATTCTTTGATAATTAATAAAACATTGTTTATTTTTCCATACGATCGGGTAATACATTGATACGATTCCTACGTGAATTGGTTGTAAATCTAAAACCATTTTAGACAGCAGCGGCGACATCGAAGATGGGTGGCGGCGGCGAATACGTTAGAGGTGAGGGACTGGACGGGGTCGTATGGTGATGGCAGGGAGACTGTAGTTATGCATCATCACAAGAAATCCTTGAAGCTCGCATGCGATCTGTCTCATGTAATTCTTGATACTCGATTCCTCTTGACTGCTGGAAGTTATGCAACATGTAGTGTCCACTGGGCGTAGCCATGTTGTGTTCGCTGATACTGTTTGCTTCAATGACTTGTTTGAATACAGTACCACCCAACAAAGGAGAGTGCGCGAAGAATAAGATTGATCCTGCGTATGCAGCTACCGTATCATCTTACCCCTGATCTTGCTAAAACTTGAACAGGTATCGCGACTATTGCTCGCACTTGCTCATCCCCTTGAACAAGTGCAGGTAAAATGCGATCTTGCAATGATACTCGCTGATGTTTTTGCCAAAATGTAGATACGCCAACTACTTCCTGCCATGGAAATGCACAGAAGGTATACAAAATGCGGTTTGAGGCTGCAGATTGGGATAATGACGGATGTTCTCCATCGAAACAGAGAGGCATGCTTACGAGAAGTGTCAATTTCAGGAGTAAGTTTCACGAAGTTGATTGCGTTTGTATTGATCGAGGTTGCAGGTTTGAATATCGTGTGAAGAAACTGCAGGAACAGTCGTAATAACAGAAATGTAGAGATTGCCGATCATGGGAGGTCAATATCGAAGGCGTCCTTCCCCTTCTTAGCACAGAAAATGATCTCTGCAGCTGCATACAGTGATGCTTGCTGTTTCTTATTGCTGCTTACTCTCTTCAATGCATCATCAATGCAAGCAGTGGGTGGATAACTTGCAAACTCAGCAGATCTCTCGTGAGAAAATGCAGAAGCTTTCTGGGAATTTCGATTCTCACATTGCTTGCTCGGTTCTTACAAGAGAAAACACCGCATACATCTTTCTTCATTGCGTTGCGTAACATTTCATTCATGTCGACAGTACCTACGTCCACACCAAGAAAAACAATTTGCTTCCAAAACGTATGACATTGAAGCCTTCTGCCCCTTCTGTCTTTGAGCAATTACTCCAGACAGCTCAGTTGCCTTGATCGTGGCAGTGAGTATGTAATAACGTTTGCTAACCGTTTTATCGCCCGCTCTTGCTACAACATGATGGTTTCGTCCGAGAGTCAGCTCTTGTATCCGATCAGTACGCACTGTCTGCTTCCCACACCCTCACAGTGTTGTCCCCTGACCCCGTCGCGATCATCCTCCCATCTCCCGACCACGAAACCCCCCACACTCCTCTCGTATGTCCAGTCAAGCATTCCATCTCCTTCCCGCTGCTTGCTTCCCACACCCTGACAAAGCCATCGCCGGATCCTGAAACGATTTGGCCGCCATCTCTCGACCAGCATACGCTGTAAACGCCTTTGGTGTGCCCCTTGAAGCAGCCGATCTCCTTTCCACTGCTTGCCTCCCACACTCTCACAGTGTTGTCAACGGAGCCAGAGGCTATCTTGCTTCCGTCCTCCGACCACGAGACACTCCACACATCTCCTGCATGCCCTTTGAGGCAATGCACCTCTTTCCCGCTGGTTGGGTCCCACACCCTCACAGTGTTGTCCCATGATCCTGAGACGATCCTCCTCCCATCTCTCGACCACGAAACACTTCTCACACTACAACAATGTCCTTTTAAGCTCACGACCTCTCTCCTGCTGTCTGCTTCCCACACCCTCACAGTGTTGTCCCCTGACCCCGTCGCGATCATCCTCCCATCTCCCGACCACGAGACTCCCCACACTGGGTACGAGTGAGCTGAGAAACAACCAACCTCCTTCCCGCTGCTTGTTTCCCATATTCTGGCAGATTTGTCCAGAGATCCAGAGACAATCCCCTTGCCATCTCTCGACCAGCATACGCTGTAAACGTCTCCAGCATGCCCCTTGAAGCAGCCGATCTCCTTTCCACTGCTTGCCTCCCACACTCTCACAGTGTTGTCAACGGAGCCAGAGGCTATCTTGCTTCCGTCCTCCGACCACGAGACAGCTCTCACTGTGTCTGCATGTCCTTGCAAGCAACTCCTCTCCTTCCAACATGGTCGCTGACCTGATGCGTCTGAAGCTCACTCTGTGGGACAGGAGAAATTGTTCAGGATATACACCAATAATGTCAGTATCGATGCCCCCTTATTTCTCTAGTTCATCTGGTGAGGCGAGTTGGTTGAAAGTAGTTGAGTGATAAGTTACTCACTTATCGTAGCAGTAGCTACGCATGTTCGGTTGGTAAAATGACATGATAGGAATGAGCAGGAGATGAGATCAGTACTAGTGTCGTGCAGTGAGCGAAGATGACATGTCGATATGAATGAGATTGATGAGAAGATGACATGTCGATATGAATGAGATTGATGAGAAGATGACATGTTGATCTGAATGAGATTGATGATAGTCAGTGCGAGAAGATGACATGTCGAGATGAATTTGAGCCCTGGTCACGCCGCGCAGCTAAATCATCGATCTTTGAGAGCTGCGTTTCCAAATATGACATGGAGGCTAAACTTAACTTGGAGTAAAGAGGCAAGATGGTGTGAGTGGTCATCATTGCAGTCAAGGAAGTTGTCGTCTAGCAGATACTGAAGTTCGTTGAAGCAAGGCTTTCCCAGCATTGATGCTGATGACCGACGACTGAAGTTGCCCGTGTCGCAACAAGAATGACTGAGGCCATCGACTTCGCCTGGAAGATGGAGCTTCGGCGTAGAGAGCGGGAAGAAGAACGAGCCAAGGTACCAGCAGCATCGAATCATGAGAAACGAGATTTTCTTTCTCTCTTGACTCGGTTGGCCATTAGAAAGCATCGGAAAAAACATCTTCTGGTGGAAAGAAACACTCAGATTCGCAGAAGAGCTCCAAGGTGATATAGATCAGTGTTGGTCTTCTTTGGATGTTGAGATGGCTTCAATCTATGTCAGCCCTCGGGTCAGAGACTCCTCAGAACCAGAACATCGATTGTACAAGAGAATGCTCCTGAAGATGGGCCAACCTTACTCATGAACCATCAATCCTCCACAGAGCAAGGTGATAGAGCCCTTGGATTGCTCTCCTCACTCTTGTTGCCAGTGAGTGCCGTTGACGAGTGGTGGAATGCGACTCTACCCAAGAAGTCGTCCAAACAAGACTTGTTCTTGTGGAAGAAAGACGACGGATTTATTCCAGCAGAGCACGAGAAACTGGTAAGCGATCAGTTTGAGGAGGAGAAGGGGAGGTGCGTGCTGAATGTTTGGATGCAGGTGAAGAACTACGGGGGTAAAGCTGTTCCTAAAGGATACAGGACCTTGTTCGACGAGCCTCCTCCCGACTCTGCTCCCAAGCAAAAAGGTGATGAGGTTGCGCTTGGGGTCAAAGTTGACTGGACGGCAGTCTCAAAGAAGTTCATAAGGATAGATGAAGACCCCAACCAAGACTCTGAGCCGACAACTGCGATAGGTGGACTGTTGGCTAGCTTTCTTGCACGCTCATCGTGATGATGGCAGAAGACGGCACTCACTCTCTCACGGTGCTTGCCTCTCAGCCTACACACTCGTAAACCCCCGCAGGACCTCCCGACTTTCGGGGAGTTCATTTCCGACTACAAGGCATGTCGGTTGGTCTTGCTGGCTCCCAGCTGAGGTTTCTCTGTCAGGAGCATGAGCGGCTTCAGAGGGGGAGGACCAACGAGGTTGTGGGCACGAAGCGATGTCGGCCGAGGTTGCTTCCTCCCTCGCCGCTGGCAGACCTGACTCGAGCTTGTGCGTCAGAGCTGCTGAAGATCCAGCGAAAGCGCTTGCATGGTCCTCAAGCGTTAAGCTGATCCCCAGCCGGTCCGAAGGTCGCGTTCTCATCTAGCGCAGCTGACATGCTTGCTCAGTCTCAAAGCTCCCGATGTGTCGACCAAGTGCAAAGTGACGCGGAGCGATGAGAGGAGCGGGAGCTGAGAATGCGCAGGCGATCGCCATGCTTGCTGATGCGACTGAAGAGATCCTCGAAGAAGAGCTGATAGAGGTCCACGCTGACTGCTCGTTGTCGTCTGATGCGGAGGCAGCTGATTGAGATGGGGATGTTGGAGGGAATGATGCAGCTTTTCGAGGACGCTACTTCGCAGTCAAACGTAAGAGATGTTGTTGCTCGATCAATTTGACACTGCTAGCAGGAAGAGATCAAACAGTATCTGCAATCGACAAGACAAGGAAATTCTCAAGAGATGTCAAGGTTTCTTGATTCTGCAACGTATCACTCCCCGGCCCTGACCTCACCTCAGACATCTCAACTTGATTCCCATCTCTGTCATGCGGATCTTGCGTAATGCGACTTGTCTGCTCCTGCATAACTTCAACCTGCAACCCAGGGACGGGCAAAACATTCGAAGGTGCCGGAAAGCTGTCTTTCCTCTCCTCTCACTCTACTTCTCAGCTCGTACGATTGGCTTCCAAAGAAACATGGAAGTTTTATTGAGATCATGCTGTACTATCCAGGACTGATGAAAGCTGTTGTCGACAGTCTTTCTCATGAGCATCACAGTGTTCAAAACCATGCGGCTCACGTCCTGACAAACTTCGCCACGTTTTCGGATGAATTCAAGAGAGAGTTTCTGGATGACGAATTGCTCATGGAGACACTGAGAGTGCTTCTGCTTTCTCGCTCAGCTGACGTTGAGGTCGCAGCTGCCGCCTTGCTCTGGACTCTCTTTTGTGATGACGAGAGCAAGCTCAAGGTGCTGAGCCACCGCAGCCCTGAGGGCGACACGTTTCTACCCACCATCGCTGACCTGCTGCTTCACGGGGAGAGGGAGACCAAGGAGATGATGGGAAGGATAGTCTGGCGGCTGAGCGCTCAGAGTCAGAGCCGAGGAGAGAAGATGCGGGTGGACTCAGTCGAGAGTGCGAGGAAGAGCCTGGGCGACGGCACCATCACCAACCTCATCAAGCAAGACCTCTGCCGCCAGCCCGGCATCCTCGAGGGACTCGCGGCTCTGCTGGGCGAGGACGAGCTGCAGGGGCGGGAGATTGCTGCAGCAGCTCTCTGGAGCCTCACCGTTGAGCGGGAGAACAAGCGATTCATCGTCCCCTACAGCAACGTTATCAATGGCCTAGCAAATTTGCTGCAGGATGGAACAGCGTCGGCGAGCTCATTGGAGTATGCTGCTTCAGCTCTGAGAAACCTTGCTACGGACCCTGTGGTGGTGGACATGCTGCACGCGAAGCACAAGAAGCTGGTGGTGCTGCTGCTAACTCGATGCGACGTGCTCGAATGGCAGAAGAATATCGTCTCAGCCACCAGCTACGTTTAACGAGAAATCAATATCTCTGCTACGAGCTCTACCCTCGTTCTATGGCCTCCTTTCCTGCTGCTGTTGCATAAGCAACCGAGAGGCTTCGAGAACCAAGAGAAGGAGGGAGGGAGGGAAGATAAAGGAAGGGGATCAAGAGGGAGAGGGAACCAAACGGCAGAAAGAGTGAGGTACGAGGAGGAGGGAGCAAGGAAAGGGAACCAGATTCCAATCAGAGGGAAGGGAGGGAGGAGGGAGGGGAGGAGGGGAGGGGAGGGAAGAGGCAGGTTCAAACACCTTGAGTCTGTTCCTGGGGTCCTGACGTGCCTGTAGCGATGACCATGTGCTCCATGCCATGACCGAGGCAGCAACGAACAACTTCCTCAACCTGACCGACATCAGGATGAAGTGAGTTGCTAGCCCGGGCGTTTACCTGCTCCTTGGTGAGCGCATCGTAGTGATCGGAGACATCTTGGATGCAGCCGATGGACTTGGGTGAGAGAGGGTTCCCGAGATCCTCCATGAGCTGCACCCAGAACACGTTCTGCTTCTCCGTCTCCTTCACCTGCCCCCGCACCCTCAGCCTGTTCCCGCACATGGCGGAAGTTCACCTTGGTGACCAGAGGACTCTTGGCCGCCTCGAACTCGTCCATGGAGAACCCTTCTGTCACCAGACGATGAAAGCACTCTCTGACCGCCGCAATGCTTTCCTCGATCTGCTCCTCCGTCAACCAGGAGGGCCAGCACCACAGACACCAACGGGACTGGGGCAAGAAGGGATGGGGGATGGAGCAAGACGAGCAGGAGAAACAGAGGGAGCAGGAGGAGAGAGGGAGGAGCAGGAGAAAGAAGGGAGGATGGAGGAGGGAGGAGCACCATGTCAGCTTTGGGCATGAAGTCGATGGTGCAGTATCCTCCGGGAATGAGGCGATAAGGTCGCCAACGGAAGGAGATGCCATAGACGAGCCCTCGCCGCTCTCGAATCTCCTCGAAGAGTCTGCGGGGACAAGGTGACCGATGTGCTGGGTGAGGGAGAGGGGACAGGACCCGCGGCATCACCTGTTGCTGATGACGTCACAGGCGACTGAGAGGCTTCGCGAGATGTGCATGGACTTGCAGTACGGGCGACCGTTGGGGAGGGTGGGAGGCACAAGGCTGAGGGCCTGCACGACAAAGTCAGAGCGAGCAAGCTCAGGTCGGCCGCGACCGCTCCATCACGAAAGTCGAGCGAGAGACCCGCGTCGACGTCCCTGAGGTATCCCCAGCGGTTAACCGCAGGGAAGCCCATGATGGTGTAGGAGCGCTCGGTGTCGTCCACTGCAGCTTCATCAGACACGGCAGGAGAGAGGCAGCAAAGAACCCAAGTGCTCGGCATTGGCTTTCATGCTGCCGCCCTTGAACTTGAGTCGAAGCTTCTGTTGCACACGTTTCAACGGCCGTTGCGCCTCATCCGACGTCACCTCTTGCATCTCGTCGAGGAAAGGTTTCTCCTGCTCTCGGTGGAGGGTCCCCATGTATCGAACCTCGCGAGCGAGTCAGCAGCTGAGGAGTGGGTGTAGCATGCAAGTACCAACGCTTTCTCTAGCTCTTGCGGGTCGAAATCTCCCGAGACAACCTAGTTGAGGTTTCACAGGGCAACACACGCAGCTCCTGCCGCACCATCTCGAGATTCTCCGTCGCGATCTGCTTGAAGAGGATCGCTCGAACGTCCTCAACCTGCGGCCCGCGCGTGAGTGACTCGAGCAAGAGAGGGCCAGGCTTCCAGGGTTGAAAGGTAGAGGAGTTGACGGTCTCACTCACATCCAAGGAGTCTGCGATCTCAGGCCGGAGCTCCTGCAGCCGCCATGCATGCTCCTGAAGAAGCAGTTTGAGCCCGCACAAGCCAGTCAGCAGTCTTCACCGGTGAGATCATCATGTCCAAGAAGAGTTTTGACGTCTTTCTTTCCACGCTCTAGTGCAGACATGCTTCAGCCTTCGCCTCCTCAGCCAAACATGCTTCACCTTGTCGAGGGACTGAGAGGCTCGACGTACGCGGATCTTGAAGCGCTCAAGGGCCTTCTGGTCCAAGTTCGGCCTGACAGGCAGAAGGTGAGACACGTTAGATCCTGCTGCAAGCTCGTCACCTTTGCAAGAACATCCAGACCAGGCCCATCGCTCGCTCCAGTGCACCATCAACAGTTGCCTTGCCCCAACATGAGCGATGGCGGGAAGAGAGAGCAGCAGAAAGAGCTTACTTGAACGAGCATGTCGAAATGAAGCTCCTCACTGTGTCAGAAGCGTCACAAGGATATCAGAGCCGAAAGGTGCTTGCCTGTTGCATGCTGCGTCATACGAAAGTCCCCACATGCTCGCAAAGCGCGAGACAACTTCTGCTGCATATCCACCGCATCCTCCATTGACCCACAAGGCAGAGGCTGCAACTGCTTGACCCTGACGTTGTTCATCTTCGAGAACTCTTCCTCCAGCCGCCGAGATCCTAACGCGAAACTCCTTGGGCCTGCTGTCGTTGGTCCTGTAAGCAACTCTGATTCCGTTGCTGAGCTTGAGCACAACTACTCCCGTCCCTCCCTCCTCGTCGACGCGTCTCGACACGATGGCCGGCTTCATCTGATCCACCAGCTCGTTGAGGTGGGACTCGTCGAGAAGTCTCTCGGGCACTTGAAGGGATTCGGGCGGGTTGGGGTCTTTGAGACCTCGCTCGACGATGGTGAGAAAGAGATCGTGGGAGAAGTCCTGCATGTCGGGAGAGTTGTCGGGCATGCAGATGAAGGCCTTGCATTGGTCGTTGGTGACGTAGCTCGTGACCGCATTGAAAAGTTCTCGCGCCCTCACCGACAGCTCTTTCGGCGTCAGCCTTGAGGAGATCTCCGCGAGGATTTCAAACTTCTTCTCCGCATTCATTACCTGGTCGCCCGCCTGCACACACTCCATGATCCTCCTCATCCATACAGATGACTCTAGCGAATTCTTCAGCGTCGCCTGCTGAGCAAAATGATTGACAAGCGTCGTGACAGCCTGAGACAACTCGGCTTCGGTTACACCATGCTCTGCCATGCGAGCTGCTTCCTGCAGACCAATCTCTAGCGCCGCCTTCCAGTGACGAGGCTGTGAGGAGATGGAAAAAGAGTTCATCGAGCATCCGTCTCTTGCCGAGCTGCTGTATGTCCAACCTAGAGGGATTTGAGTGAGGAGGGTTCCCAGGGCAAAGCAAGTAAAGCAAGTGTACCTATGCCGTTGAAGATCGGGTCGTTGGAGCGCAGACGGCGTTCGTTGACTCTGAACTCGAGGATCATGCCAACCAGAGAGTCCAGCACGGATTCGCGCATGTCAGAGAGAGTCGCAAACGTCTGCAGGTTCCCTTTGGCGCAAAAGGAGACGCTGAAGTCAGTGATGAGCGAGTGGGAGAGAACGTGAAACTTGTTGGAGCTTCCATGTTCTTTGCTTGGGGGCTGAGCAGCAGGGACCGAGACAACGTTGACGCCAGGAGAGGTCCTGATGATCGCAGGGGCCGGGTCCAGCGATTCAATCAGGTCGTGATGGACGATCTTCGCCCCTCGCCGTGGCCACAAGACTGGCTCCACCTTGCGATCCTCCTCTACTGGTTCGACGCCCGCGGAACCATCGGCAGGGGCTGCTTGCTCTTTGCCAAAGACCGCCTGAATCTTCTTCTCGAAATCCGCGGGGTCCACGTCACCAGCAACATAGAGGCACATGTTCGCCGGGTAGTAGTGGCGCTTGTAAAATCTCCTGAGATCTTCCGAGCTGAAGCGCTTCACCTTCACAGCATTTAAGAACAGATTGGAGAACTCCCATCGCTCACCTGTTCCTCCTTCCCGATAGGAAACCGCCTGGGCAGTACAGTGTCGTTGTGGTTGAACCTGTAAAACTCCATGGCTGCACGCTGAGAGATGCTGTTTCGGTCCTTGAGCTCAGAGAGGATTGCCCCTCTTTCTTTGTCGATGTCCTCCTACCATCCAAGTGTCAACTACACTCCGTGCCTTGAGCGCCAGGCTCACCTGCTTGAGAAGAGCCTTGAAGGCCATCTGGTGCAACAGCTCCAGCACTAGCTGTGTGTTGTCGTCGGTAGTGGCTTGAAGGCCTTCGATTTCAGACACTTCATCGTCCCCGGCAAACTCGTCTTCAGCAAGGTCTTCTCGCGGAGCCGTGCTCACGCCTGAGTCGCCAAACAGACCGGCAGCAGAGTGCATCGTCTCTGCCCGACCCTTGGTGGGGGCTGACAGCGTGTAAACCTGGAGAGGTGGCTCATCGCCAGGAGAGTTCACAAGAAGTAGCATACGGTGCTTCTGAAGTCCGTGAACGCATTCGCATCAGCATTGTACGCCTGTGCTTCGGGTCAGCCGGCAGTAAACGCTTTCAATATCAAGTACCATGCCGAGACGTCTGAGCAACTTCTTCATGGCTTTCTGAGATTTGAATCTTCACAACAAATAAGAGGAGAGGAGAGAACTGAAAACAAGGCACAACCTTTCCGTCCCAAGAAACAGACCATGCTCTACAAAATGCGCAATGCCCTGCTGCTCTTCCTCTTCGTCCACACTGCCGGCATGCACTTCCAAGTTCACATAGAATCGCCCTGCTGGTTTCTTGTTGGGGAATATGCAATACCTCAACCCGTTTGGAAGAACTCCTGCAACCCTAACATCACTGGAACAGACAGCCTCCATCGGATCGCTCACCATATCTCAGTTTCTCATGCATTGGAAGAAGTTCAGCTGAGTCTACTTGGTACTTCTTCGATCCAAGCTGTTCATAAATACATTTCATTCGTGTCAAATTCTGCTGATTCCTCACCTGAGATGGTGTCGACTCTTCGACTTGCATACTACGGCGAGTCAAGCTCCTGCATAGCGGATCACCTTTTAGGTTTAAATGCTGTCTGTCTGTCGCATCCTACCTTGTCTGTGCTCCTTCATAAGGTCTTAAAATATTTCGTACGTTCATTGAATTTGAGCGCTGGAGAGGATTCTTTATCCAGAAGTGTTTGCCCATAAGTAGAGCTGCTGAGAGGATTACAAGAAGAGATAGTAGGCACACAAGGTAGACATGATTGTTTTGATGGTTCGGAGTGCATGACCGAAGATTGAGAACGGCCAAGCTTCATTCCTTTCGTTGTGAAGCACCATGAAATGCCAACGTGTGATGCAAAAGTTCCCACAAAAGCAAGATGGTTGGAAGAAACAGGTCTGGCGCTCAAAAATCAATGCATTTCTGCATATCCTCAATGCAACTACTCACATAGCCTTCGTAAGATGCATCATCACTAGCATGCATGCAATACAGCGCTTAGCAAACAAAAGAAGCTCCTATACAATCGGGTTCAGCGCGTTAAGAATGAGTAAGAGTGGCCGGTTCAACTTACCTCTATCATCTACAAAAAAACCGAATCTGACGAATTCCATCTACCGGCATCGCGACGACATAGGAAGATATTTCTCTGTGTGATTGTCAGGATTCTATCAAATTGTAAAAGCAAACACAAAACAAGTTTGCAGATCAACGAAAGCAGCACTGGACGATAATAAAAATACCCAACACAAGAGGTTTCTACGAATCGCCCAACAGGGTTAAAACAAGAAGATCAATGAGAAGATGATCTATTTGATGCAGGAATGCAATCGAGTTGAAAACGGTTCAAATGTGAAGATTTCATGCCAAAAGGGAATACAGTTAATTGCGCAACCAAGAGAAAACTTGGGTGAAAAGAAATTGGAAAAGAGCTGGTGCAGCAGAGAGCATCGAAGGAAGAAGAAAAGGGCAACGATGGGGGTGTCAGCAACAGAGACTAGGAGGAGAAAATGAAGGAGAGGGCGAGAGGGGGAGGGAGCGGGGGAGCGAGGGAGCGAGGGAGGGGCGAGGCAAGCAGCGGCTATCGCCTGCATGGCGCTTAAAACACGGGGAGCCTCTAAACCAGGTGTCTTTCAAGGCATGGAAGTGAGTGGGGGTATTCCAGGAGTAGCTTTCCTTGCTGTCCTCCCTCGCCGTCTTCACTCAAAGCTGAAAATCACGCTTCTTCGTACTAGAATTTACTTATCTACACTACTGCTGCTGCCTCCGAGTCGTGGCACTCAGACTCGTGATTCGGCTCAGTAGCCGCACACTGACAGTCACCGTGCCACCGTGACTGTGGCTAGACGGCCCACTTGACTCAGTGCCTCAACTGTAGCTCTGGCACCGTCAACGTCGCTCGGATCGGATCGGACGGCGTCGCGGGCGCTGAGTCACCCGCCGCCGGTGCGGCGGCGGGCCGCGCGGCCCGGGGCCGAACCGTTGAAGGTCCGAGTCGCCACTGCCCGGCCAGCGGCTCTGTGAGCGGGGCTATCCGATAGCCTAGCCTATGCCGGGGCTGCCACCCACGGTGATCAGTTCAAGATTCTGGGCGAGCCTGCGGCGCCAGGCCGCACTGTCGTGAGAGGAAAATTAAATTAGTATCTGAGATGAAAGAATATTTGAAGAAGGGACTGAAATCCGAGGCGGCAGAGCACGGTCAGGGAGTTTTCAGCGCCTTCGTATCATGGTATCACTTCCGGTCCGACTGTCTCAGTCCGATCACTGAGTCATCCCCGGCGTCCCCGGGCCCCGGCGGTGGGCGGCCGCGTCCGACGTGCGCCCCCCCCGGCCCCCGGGCCCGCGTTGCTTTTCCGGCCGGGCGCTCATAGGAAAAATTGGCAAGATTTTTTTTTTTTCGAAGGGCCTGTGGGGTCCCTTCATTTCATGCCATGTGGGAGTACCCTACTTTGAGAAGGCGTGTGGGAGGGTGACTCGCTCTTAGGAAAATCGTTGCTGCGCAGGGCCAAAGAGGGGTAGGGTGATTTGAATTTTGTTGCTTGGACACCTCACCACGCCAAACCAAAGTAAAAGTACGAATTTTAGAAGTATCTGTGGTACCAACTTAATATTGCAGCGTTTATATGGTACATAACGAGGGCCAAACTGGTCGGAACTTCGACTTCCGAGAACCCCTCCGTTTGACTTTCGTTGGGGGGTGGGGTGGGTATGGAGCACCCTCAACTACCCACCTTTGAACCAGTTTGAAACTCTGTGATAGGGGGTGAGGGGTAGCCCCCTTTTCTCATTCCCCAAGCCCCCTCTCCCTGGACGAGCAAGAGGCGATGAAATGGTGCCTTCCTGACTCGCGAGGATGAACCTTGATATTGAGAGACTTCGAATCCAACCCAACTGAGATAGAAATCAGATGAAGATCTCATATCATACCTGTAAGAGATGATCAAGCTTCTTTCTCAACTCTGCAGGTTGGGCCAAGGTTTGAATCATCCATCGTGTACTGGAATATGCACCCTAGGTACAAACAATCCGCGAGTGTACTTGAAAATATTCTTCGAAGACAAGATGAAATTTTCATGAACAGCTAAGCAACTAATGATGGATTCACCATTGAACAGAATCAACTTTGATTGACCCTTCTTTCAAATTGCCGTAGGTTGAACGTTGAGCTCAAATGCATGATTTGTGAGAAATTTGTATCAACTGTACCTTAAGCGACTTTGCTGTCTAGATATGTGTTCTCATGTCATCACTCACTTTCAATTCTTCTAGTCTTACGGTCAGGATTCATGCACCTCACTTTTCTATAGAGAAAGCTTTACATGCTCAACCGTTCAATGATGCATGAAGAGACGTTTGCACAAAGGATTTCTTTACCTGCCAGGATAGATGACTTTGAATCATCGTTGTTGATCATGAATCACTATATCCATGATCAAGTGCATTGACAATTGCATTTCCATGTTTCATGACGTTGAATAATTTTTCTCCACTGCAACTTCTTCCTCTGTCATGACATTTCCACAACGCTGCAGAAACCTAGTTAGAAATGAAACAATGTGCAGATGAATCTGATATCAATAAATGAGATGTTCTTTGAATCAATCCTGCCTTGTTTGGACAGTTCGCAATGCTACCATGCAACAGTAGAGTTCTTGTCGCATTTGGCTCTACAGAGGGGTGCCTTGTTCAACAGAGCAAGCACTCGATGATTGTAAACGAACCACAAACACTGTGAATCAATACACAGAATTCCACATTCAGGTGATCATATCTTTATTACAAGCGTTTCAATCTGGGTAAAAGCACAACCGACCTCCTTGTAATCCTGACGACGTTCCATCTTTTGCCTGGCGAAGTTATTTCTGTGTTAACCAAGAAGCATGTGACATGTAGCCACATCATAAATGCTGTACGGCCTGTAATATCAGCATCTTCAAAGTGCTCGTGTTTGCAGTGACCGTATCATCTGCTTGGCACCGGCTCATTGATGGACACACGATCTGATGCAAGTTCACACCAGTAATATTTAGATGATGCATCATGTGATGAAATGGCATAGACCTTGCTGGGTGATTTGCAACATGTTTCATCGTTCCAACACATCCTTGAAAACCGGATGAAGAATCCTTCTCGAACCACTGGACTTGCTTGTTATCATTCGATAGTGCTGTGGATCATCGTGGTTTCAAGCAATCGAGCAGCTCACTGCTAAAATGCACTGTATTTCTTGCGAGCCTATCAGCCATCATCGTGAAGACATGTGTTCTTGAGCTCACTGGTGACTGTACGGCTTTTGAACAATCCAGTCACCGTCGGATGATGATTCCCTGTCGTCTTGTGTGTAATCTCCATCCATCTACTCCAACTCAGTTTCCCTGTCATGCATCGCAGATAGCTTAGGGTATTTCACAACCCGGTTTCGATTGCAACGTATCCCTGTGATGGTGATTTTCACTTGTATTATTGATGCTCTTCGCTCACCAAACGATTTTTCGTGAGATTCACGCACTGTACGAAGCACTCCTCAAGGATCATCATCTCTACACCCCAGGAATTTCCCATGAGGATGTTCGGTGAACATCTGATGTCTGCACACGCTGCCGCGGGCTCGCTGTTTGCGAGCCATGGTTAGGGCAGTACAGAGCGGTGCGACGTGCCCCGAACAAGGGGAGGCTCATGGCGTGTAGAGAGGTCGTTCAAACTTGTTTATAAAATTGTACCATAAGAAGGCTCTACAAATTAGTAAGTGGACTACCCCATGATCTCACTGCAACTTCTGGGGTGCAGCCCTACTTCTCTGTTTATACTCAACCATTCCACAATACAGTTTAAAATATCTTATTGGAAAACAACATCAGAGTTATAAACCTGAAATTTGGACCCTGTTTCAAATCCTCAAACACGCCACCCCCCAATCCACATAGAAAGCAGAACAACCCCCTCACGGGAAAACATACACCCCAAAGCAGAAAAAGCAAAATGTCAACGCTACCTCGGGCCCGGGGTGGCCTGGGCCGCGGGGCAGTCACCGTGTGCCATCGTGACTACTCAGTGACTACAGGGTACCGTAAAGTTCCGAAGGCGGCCAAGCCTGAGCCGGAAGTTCGGAACCGTTGAACTTCCGAGTTCTCCGAGGCTCGGACGGGCCTCCTGACTCTGTCGGAGTACCGTACGATACTACCGTACGGTACTTATGAGGAATCGAGTCACGGTGGCGGCCGGGCCGCCGGGTACGGCCCGGCAACGGTAATGCCGCTCCGCCGGGGTCCGAGTCAAGAGTGTTCAATCACGACCCCTCTCTAAGTCCGTTCAGTGACCCCTACCGTATCCTACTACCCCCGCCAAGTCAAGAGGACTGATGGGGCCAAGACCCGTCGGTTCCTACCGACCCTTGCCCCTGCAACCGGCTCTGCCTACTACCCTCAGACTACAACCCCTACCTACCCCTGTAGCCTATTTCTCTAAAATACAGTCAAACTGAACATACCACCTTCCCCCTCGAACGGCATACCTGTCAATACCACCCCACCTACCTTAGGAGCCGGCCTCGTGTAAATAATTGAAGGATAAGTAAACAGAAGTGTACCACAGACCCCATTGTTCCTCTCCTCAATTTACTACCCCTACCCCACTCACACTCGAACCGACTTGTTGTGCCCACCCCACCCCCCAACCTCCGGTCGCAAGACGATGGCAGAGGCTGCAGCAGAATCGCAGCCTACTCCCTCAGTCGCTGAGACCAGCAAGAATGGCTACAACCTCCTCATCTATTTCTCAGCGTCTCTTGTTCCTCCTTCTTGCCTCCATTCTTCTTACTTTTCAGCCCCGTCCTGTTGTTTGAAAGCTTCCTAACTTCTCCTCTTCGCCACATTTTTGTTGCCCCCACGGAGGTTGAAGCCAGGACGGCGCTCATTTTTAGATTTCGTTCCTGTTCCTCCATGTCAACTATCTTGAGAGACCCTAAACCTCCCCTAAACCATCATCTTGCCTGGCTGTGTGATTCTTGGATTGTCCCAGACAATGATAACCTTGCTGAGACGCTGAGAAGTTTTATCTAAATCATATCCTTATGCAACAATCATCCTAGATTGATGCCAAACTAATGGATTTTCCTTCTTTATTGCAGGTCCAAAACACTTGTTCGTGACATTGGCGGGCACGCTTTGATTCTATCCGCTTCTGTTATCGCCCATACGGTCATGCGTGCAAGGTCTCCGCCAAGGAGGCAAGAACGATCTTCACTTCGAGTTGAGAGGGAGACTCAAGAACATGCTAGCTTTGAACGACAATCGTATCGTTCAGAAAAGTCTCAACATGAACTTGAATATGGTGCTGTGCGGAAATTGTCTAGGGAAGGAAGTCAGGAGGATATTGCTTTCAGAAAACCTGTTCGCGAATCGTCTCAAGATGAAGGTGTTTTCCGGAAGCCTGTACGCGAATTATCTCAGGAGGAAATGGTTTATCGGAAGCCTGTACGCGAATCGTCTCAAGAAGACTTGAATGAAGTATCGTCTTGCGTTTTCATTATGCTTCTGACGTCCCTGTAATCCAGATACAGTCAAAAATGAAGCGCATGCAAGCCAGAGAGAGACCAAGTTCTCCTCGGAGATCAATGTGTGTATGCTTGATCACATTATTTTCGAACTGACCGCCATCAAGGGAATCGAATGAAGAAAGCAGCACGAACCGAAAATTCTCTGACGAGGTCCAGTACATGGAGATTGAGTAGACTTTACTGTTTGACGATTTCCAACGACAGGATGTATTGATTCGTAAGAGCGCCACAAAAGAAAAAATTGCCTCATCCAACAAATTGGCAAATGGTTTGGGATTGACTGCAGAAATTCAAGATAGAGCTCGTGGGCCACGCGATAGGCCTACCAGTCCAACCATGCGAAAACAGCAGGATCGACCACAGAGCCCTCCAGCTTTGAGCAGAAGACCTGTCAGTCCTCCTGGATTGATGTACAAACAGAACGATGCCTCAATCACGGAGAAGGGCAGGGGCAAAGATAGTCCTACAAAGCGTGGAGTTTCGCCTCCAGCTTCGCCTAGGAGGCCCTTATCACCCAAGGTGCTGTGTTCTAGGAGCAAGGCGATAATTCTGACTGCTTGGATTGCAGAGAGGTGTCTGGTTTGGGCAGAAGGAAGAAGTGACGTACTCAGAAAGAACCATTTCCAAGGTGATGAAGCTGAGTGCACAAGGTGCAGAAATGAAAGGGCTTACCAATTACAATATTTATCAGGGACAAAAATTGTGCTCCGACATATTTGATGGGCCTGCACCTGACGTGACTGACAAGCATTCAATTTTCCTGTTGCTGACTTTGATAACTCAAGACCCCCCAAAAGGACGTCAGAGAGCCAGAGCTTGCAGTGGAATATTACTATAGGTATTCGTTTTATATAAGAAAGTCGACTGACTATGAAGCTAGTACATCAACAGATACTTGGGCAAAGGAAAAGGTTCTTGTTGATTTTTCTGATCGTCCATTCGCGCGGTTTGTAAATTTACCTGCATCAAAAGCCACAAGTTTGTATTATCTTTTGACGAAATCTTTGTTTGCAGAGGTGCACAAAATGTTTGCTTTGAAGTAAAAGAGACAAAACCGGATGGATCTCAGCGAAAATTGTGATAGTAAGTGCTTGATGACAAGAGTCTGATGGTGGAAACTTAGGGTAGCCAAGATGCCTGTGGTCCAGTTACCTACTCATGCATATTTTGACGATGCTATGACGCACGTAAGTGTAGTCGTCTACCTCATCTACGATATTTAACAGCGAATTAGGTTCTGGCACGTGACTATGCAGACGCTTTCAATGCAGAAAAGGTTTCTTTGTGCAAGCTTTGCTGCTAGGAACTGAATACACGAAAGGTCTGCGAACGGAACCTTACTTTTGTTGAAGTTTTCGTACTCAAACTAAGTCAAAGAGACAACATGGTTTCCCATTTGTACCCCATCCAGGACGAATCTTACTTTGATATACAGCTAATTCATGCAGAATCTATGGTCGATCCAGTGAAACCCTCGCGCCATTCAACGAAGGTGCATTCCTTGATGTGCTTCGATAATTTAATGCTTTCAAAGGGCCATCAAATTGACGATGGCGACTTAGCTGAAGCTTTTGCGCACTTCACCTGGGAGGCGTCAGGCAAAAGACTGTTGATTGAGTAAGAAATTGGATTGAAAACATTAGCAAGACGAACTGAATGTGCTCTAGTGGAATACGGAAGCTTGCTGGCGATGTTTTTTGTGATCCATCAGTGCATAGCTCAACAGACCTGGGTAAACGCTGAGATGTACTTGAAAGTGCTCTTGATCGTGCCATCTAGGGTTCGGACGGAAGAATCTTGGCATCCAGGGCATCGATGATTTTTTTCGTACTCACAGGTTTTCTTGTTCATTGAATTGTCACTTTATTGATAATGATCTTCAGATGCAATACAATTTGTTTGCGTCTCGGCTTAGATAGATGTGAGGGTACCGGCGAAGTGCGAAGGTCAGAGAGTCCAGACTCAGCCCCTCGACCACCCAGATCCTCTGCCTTGAAGTATCAGGGTGCAGCTTCGGGAGAAGCAAAGGTTCACATGAAAGAAAGGAGACGAGAACCTTTGCATGTTGAAATCCTACCAGGCTGAAGCACGACCTTCATTGACTAGACCACTCGGCAAGACTACAGATATTGAAGGTGAATTTCAGGGAAGAAACAAACAGCCATCATCTCCTAAAGCTTGGTCAGGGAGCAAATCCAAGAATTCATTCCTTAAGCGAGCATGGTCAAGGGCAACCAACATAGGGGCCAATCTCAGGCAATTCTTGTCTCTGCCATGAAACGCTCTGACTCCTGCGATTCGTAGAAAGGGGACCATCGCCAACCTTGTTGACGAAAAGTGATTCAGGTTTGCGACATCTTTTGGAGACTTCACGATGTAGCTTCAAGTTAGATGCTGGCTTTTGTTCTGGTACATTCGTATTCTCGCTTGTAGTGAAAACGAGGTTGGTAACCTCATTTTTCTTCGTGCAACATGACACGAGTTATGCCGTGAACCAAGCATCCTTCAACTTGTGGATGCTTCTGAACCTAAAATATCGATTCTGTAGATAATAATGCGGCCAAACAGATCAGTAGAATCAGGAAACAAGAGCTTCAGCCGTCTTGACACAACTGGGAAGGAAATCAGAACGAGAACCAAAGAAAATAGAAATACATGCTTCTCCCGCGTTCAGTTCAAATTTCTGCAATTCATTACTATCTTCCGGATAAAATGTTTGAACATGCTGAAACGATTGTTTCTCTGTACTTTCGCTCTGTAATAGAAGCTGGATCGAACTCAGGTCAGGATGAAGGTCTATGAAACCACCTGTATCTCTTTCGCGACAAAACCTCCTTGAAACTTCGCACATGTCATGCCTTTGATTGGACACAGGGGGAGGATGGGAGGTGGGGAAAGGGCTGGAATAGACAACATTTGGTAAAGGAAGAGAAGAATTGCCTGGAGGTGAAGTTGCTCAACACGCTTTGGCCCGGACAGCTCTAAAGTGACGCTCTGCGGTTTCCCCTAAAATACTATTTCACTTGCAGGAGGAGGGAATATGCAAATTCCTGTTTTGATTGCCAGCAACTCTCAAGATCGGGATGAAGCATGTTGTCCTTGCCATACTGCAGACAGCCATAGGCACCTCTCAGACCGCAGCTTCCAGACATGCCCCTCCTTCCCTCTTCCACGCCATCCCTTCCCCGCCTGCCATCGCTCTTGTCTGGTCATTCTCACCTCTTTTGAGATGGAGGAGCTGACTTTACACGAGAGAATCTCTCCTAGCAGCGACGCCATGCCTCTCCGTCAGTTCTGCCCCCTACCCCTGCTTCCTAGGATTTTGCAGGTACTCGAGTAGCGGGAACTTGCCGGGCGGCCACCCGGCCCGGTCGGACTGAGTCTTAAAAGTTGAACTCGGCTGAGGTGACGGCAAGATCTCACCGTGCCGAATGACTTTGATACGAGCACAGGTCAGAACGAGCATAGTGAAAGAACTGTAGGCTATGACATTCTCAACCTAAACCCAGACTAGTACAATTGAAATAACTTTACGAAGTTAAAATACATTCGGACTCGGGACTCGCTTCGCTCAGCACTAGGTTCCATGTGAGGAAGCTGCTGCTGCCCCATGAGACGACACCGCAAGGACTCTCATCGTCTCAATGACATCCTGCAGCAGCGAAATGTCAGCGAAATGTCAGTCATATCCGGTCAGCAGAGCTCCACCGGGATGCGAGCTATCGCTTCACGCAAGCTCATCGGCTGGGAATGATGAGCTTTTCCTCCTCTTGCTCCAAGCTCCTTCAAGACGTCTGATAGGCGATCCCAAACCTCCTGTGCGCACCAATTCAACTCACGTATGCCATGATGCTCGGAGGTGACCTGCAGTGCCGGCAACGACGGCTTCACCGAATCAGTGGAACAACAAACACTTGCTTGAGGCATGTTTCAGATCGGAAAGACGTCAAATAGTAGCTAAAACCTTCAAGGCTTTCGTCTCCGCCAGCTTTGTGTAGCTGCAAAGCAGGAATTGCCGTGGATAAGGAGCTGAAACTCGGTCAGAGCAAGCTAAGCAGACGATTAGTTCGCTCACATGGAGGACGAGCATTTGAGTGATCTTTCCCATCTGTCGGATGATCCTGTACAGATTTTCCTTCCCTTGACCCTCCTGGGAACAGTACGACGAAAGACACTCAACTCATCCAGTAAAGGTGGAGGTCTGCTCATTGAATGTCAGAATGCTACTCGCCTCCTACAAGTAAACCCTAATCCTATGAAAAACAAGCATAGACCTTTTTTGAAAAATAGAAAGCAGCATTGACATTTGGACAACAAGAAATGAGCTTGCTAGCTCAAGCACAACGCGTACCTCTGGTACAATATGGCAAGTGCATCTGAAAATCCAGCAGCTAGAATTCGATTCATTCTGTCTCAAATAAGATCGGTTGAAGTCGTGAGCATGCTGAAAGGGCATTACCTGAAGCAATAGATGAAAGCTTCGGTGAATGCCGAGAAGCTTTGTCTTGTGAACTCTTCCATCTCAGAATTGGACGCCTCTTTGGCAAAGCCATCCTGAAGATCTTGAAGAAGCTGCGAGATGAAGACCTGACAGATTGTAAATGGATTCCGCGACCTATACCTCTCACCTGTTCTTGTTTGCCTCTTTGTTTCAACAAGAAGTTTGGATTGTTTTCACCTTGAATAGCAGTAAGAACATCTTCAAACATTCAACTCGTGAATACGTTCTTCTTTGAGTTCGTCAAGGATCAAAACCCTGCCCTCATCGATGTTGCATACAGCCATGTTGTTCCATGACGTCACAGTCTCGACGCCACCTTTGCCGATATTCAGAGTGGTGAATTCAAGAATGAGGGGCACAAAGAGCAGAACATCAGCACCATCCAAGTCACCTGGGCGTGTCCCAGACACGAAGAATGCAAAAGACCTGAAGTGATTTTACAAAGGCAGCTCAAATCACTCTCGCATCGTACTTGATTGAAGCAAGCGTGTTCCCATGTATGAAGGGGAACACACAGTCAATCATGCCATATCCGTTGCCACTATCAAGCATATCCAAACTTGGGCAAGAGATTAATGCTAGTGCTGAACACACTACCGTTTTCAGTCGTGAAATGTCCTGCATCCACAATCACCCAACACGTGAATGGGTGGGGTTATTGCACAAACCTCACTCAAGAATAAAATTCTGCGTCTGAGAAGCAGCGACTGCCAGATCATCATCGTATCCTTTCGTTCCAAGTCACAAACTGGCAAGTGTCAGGAGCCTATATTGATGTCTCACCGCGCTGAACGTCTTGACAAGCTCACAGAGACTCCCATTTCCTGGAATTTGTCAAGCTCAAAACAAAGGTCGCAACTGAGCAAAGAGAGGTATAGACTTGTTAGAGAAGAGTTCCGGTCTGGAGCCTTGTATTCTCGTTGAGCTGCGCTTCCTACCACACGCATTCAATGCCGTCAAGTGTTCAGTCAACCGACCTTGTTGGAAAATGTGATCTACATAAATAGTCGGTAAATCATCGTATCTCAACTCCGTCAGCTCCAGGTCCTTGTCTTGCTCCACGCAGTGGCTTTCATTCCGCAAAACTTCACCGATAGGCTGCAGGTAAGTCATACGTGTTCCACTAATGAACGTCTAATGGCGGAACCTGCGTCACAGCCTTGTGGCAGAAAATGTTTTGAGCAAATTGCATGTCATCCCCAGCGAATTCCAGGTCTGTATGTTGCACTTAACGAAACAAGAGATCAAACAAGTCCTTCGATGATCACAAAGGTCTATGAGAGATGAAGGAACACAGGAAGAAGGCATGGAAGACAAAATGGTCATGTTTTCACCTGAAATTTCTCTCATCATGTCACAGACTCTCCATGCGATTGTCTTGGACACAGTCTCCATCGCCCAGAAACATGGTGCCTTCGCCAACATTACCACACTGATGAGGAAGTTCCCCGGAAGTCCAAGAGAGCGAGCACGACTTTGAGTTTCCTCTATCAGCCTCGTCTCAAGCAAACTGAGAGCATACAAACGCTTGGGCATCCCCACTATTTCACTGTATTTTAGGAAGTCAGTTTTTGTTACAGTTTGCAAGGAAAGATTCCTCGAAAAGCAAGAGGGGGCGATTAGATCGAAGGCTTCCTCAAGCTTTGCCTTATGCTCCTTGGCTCTTCTACAAGAGGTGCACGAAGCTTGTCTGCCGCATTCGACGCCGGCGTGAAAGTCAAGCCCCTCATCTTCAGCTAGCAAACATAAAGGGTAGGATATCGACTGCCCGTGCCATGCTCCATCCTTCACCACTTCATCAGCCACCAGGCTGAGCTTCTTCTACCACTCACCTCATGAGGGCAAAAGAGCTCGAGATTGCAAGCATTCTTGAGAGCCCGCGAGTCGACATCAGACGTCAACTCGGCACATATAATCGATGTTGATGCCTGGCCAGAGTCTCTGAAGAATCTGCCAACAAGCAGCATGCCTGCCAATGTCTCCCCCTTCATCACCAATTCTTCTTTTTCAGCCATGGCGGACAGTCAAGATATTCTTAGGTGTTTATGGAGCTAATCTTCTCTGCCTGCCTGCTTCTCGCACCCCACTGCCATGGTTTCATCACAACAAACAGCTGAGCAAGATTTGCACGGGTACTGGGAAGGGCAAAATGGGGGGTAGTGGTACTCATTCAAATCATTGTTCTGATTTTTAACTTAACTTTGAGTAAAAAGTTGGGATTTAGGCTCGGAGGAGTCCCGGACTCCCCGGGGAGTCCCTTTTTCGAGCCCTCATACAGCCCCCTTGGAAGGGCATAAAGGCGGGGAAAATGGCAGGGGATGGAAGAGGGGAGGACGAACTTTCCAACGCTGAACTTCGCGTTGCAAACGACCAACCCGTTGTCGAGATAGGACAGGAGATAACTGTGAAAAGTAAGATGTTTGGCCGTTTTAGGCCTGCAAAGAGCATTCTCATGGGCGTGCATAGATGCGATTGGAACTCCGTCGCGATAACTGGAGGGTTTAGGGTTTAGGGTTTAGGGTTTAGGGGCAGCATGGCTCCTTGTCAGGTGTAGGGGAAGCCGCCAGGGCGCCAAGGAAGCTGCAAGCGAGAGGTTTGTATACTTCAAATAGCTTTCTAAGTATGGTTCTTCAGTATGATGAAAATGTTCGCAACATGCTGTATCGGAGATCATGCCAATACACGCAGAGCGGACTTGTGGATGCCTCTGTCCTCGAAGCTGATCTCGTCGAGAGGGTGAAGAGCTTCGCGAAGCGTTATCCGAACAGCAGGACAGCCCAGGCTTGCAAGGCTGTGGAGGGATGCACCCCCGACGCTATCGCAGAAGCCATCCGCTCGACATGTCAGCAGGCACGACGTGAGCTTCTGCAAGACGCGATGACTGGATGGAGTGACGCATCCAGAGAGTGGTTTCAAGATGATGATGCAGCAGATTGAAGAAGCCAAGAAGGAGAAGGTCGAGACATACACCGCCTCAGCAGGCAACGAGGTGACTTCCTTCATCTCCATGACTCTCCTGGGCATCTCCTCGGTGTATCATATGTCAACCATGAAGAGAAGCTGAAGAAGAAATTCGACGAGATCGCCGGGACTGATCGTAGACTCAGTGCAAGAGAGTAAAGCGATCATGTGGAAGGCTCCGCAGTATAGATCCGAGATAGCGAGTGCTGATGAGATCCCGGTGACTGTTTCCTTCCTCCGCAATGTGACAAGCGGAGAAGCTCTGGCAGGGAAGAGAGGACTTCAAGATCGATGGTCGAGCATTTGCTGCCGTACATGTAAGCACTGGCAGGCATGCTGGTCGCTGGGCCAGGCCAGCAAATCCACAAACTTGCCATGAAAGCCGGGCTTAGGTCAGAAAGGCTTCCGAAGTTCGTCGCTGTAGGGGCCAACGTCATCTGGAGCGAGAGCGAAGCGATGGAGGGAGTACACCTGACTCTGTTCAGCGAGGCCCCGAAGATCAGGGAGGCGCTTGCAGTCGAGCTGACAGCTGACAGCTTCGACGGTGTCTAGGAACAAGCTCAAGAAGGCAGCAAGGATGCAGAAGAAGAAGGCAAGCCGCAGAGACGACAAGGACTCATGAAGATTATCATCAAGTCGACGGCGGCATCTGGTCGCTTCACGAGGAAGGAGATGGAGGGGCTGTGCAACGGCGGCAACACGTCCATCGCAAGAGTCAAGAGAGTCTTGTTGGAGATCAGCGGCGCAAACGGCTGAGGCTTGACCGTCCGACATCAAAGTTGACGGAATTAACATGGAGGAGGATTTGAACACCAAGTCCTGGAACGGGTCCAAGCTATGCATCCAAGTTCCTCGGCTCCACGGAGGATGCTCGACGCATGATGAAGGAGCTGCCCGGGCCTTCTCTCTCGAAGGCGCACTGCGGCAACCAAGCTCGAAGCAGTCGGCTTCGACAGGCCTCGGAGCCTGAGGCGGCTGGTCAGCGGGGCACCAGCGACGCAGCGCAGCGACAGGAGGAGAGCGAGGGAGAGTGGCTGGAGTTTACACTGACCTGGAGAGGATCACAATGGAGGCAGCCAAGAGGACATGCAGCTCGTCAGCGAGCTGTCAGCAGTCATCGAAGATGCAACTGCTTTGAACGACACGGGGACGAGCGAGCCGATCAAGCTGGTCCTGGACAAGGCCGTTGGCATTGAACCTCCACGACACCTTCTACTCTCCGGGGAGCCTGGAGTTCATGTCGCTGGGAGAATCATCATCATCATTGAATGGGCGAAGACGCCAGAGGAGCAGGGAGTGGGACGCAACGTTCGATTCTGGGTCTTTTGTGGAAGTCGTTTCTTAACAAATCGACGATATTTGTATTTCGTTTCTCAGGGGAGGGGTGGATACCGACCCCTCCGTTTTTGCGGGGTATTAAGCTGGTTTTCGGTCGGTGGGGGTACTTGTAGAATTCCCGGGTGACCTCGAACTTGAGCTAGCACTGGGTAAGTCGAAAAGACTCCTCTTGGATTACCGTTACGATTCAATTTGAAGTAACGTGTGGTCAAAAAGTACCCAACCCCACATCTTAGAATCCATGGAGGGGGTTCTGAGCCCAAATTTCGAATCATTGTTGTTTGACCTGAATCACTACCCCCTACCCCCAATCCCCATGAAATCACTGGAAAAAATAAGGTAGAGGTGGTCTTATTCCTCTACTCCACAGGGCGACACCACAGGCCAGGGCAAGAGGCGATGGGGAAGGCACCTTACCAACGCGCTAGATACGATTATGCAAGCTTAGAGACTTCGAATCTTGATGTAGTCTAACATGATTGAAAGCAGAACTATGAAAGTGTTGCCATCTGGCATGCATGCCTCGGTTTACGGACAGCCGATATCCCTCACTCTGGTGATAAAACCATTCAGCGTGTGGTGGATACAAAATTACGTTGCAAAGGCGTGCTGCAACTTGCTGCATTGCTTGATAGAACATATGCGTTCGACTCGATGACGATAGAGCGATTCAAAACCATCATGATTCTGTGGATAGTTCGACAGATTGATCACTTCTTGGATACACAGCAGAGCTGGCTTTTCGCATCCTTGTTCAAAACAGTTTCCCACAGAGCGGCCTTTAGGTAAGATAGCCCTACAACTTGCATCATCGGACTATCGCTTTCTTTCGAAGTCCAGGCTCTTCATGCCCCGCGTGAACTTAATGACGACGTCGTGTTGGGCGACACTTGAAGTTTCACATGGATACGCCATGTTCTCGCCAAAGTGCTAATGAAGACTTGCAAATGCTTTGCGATGTTTCATCTCGTTCATTCTTACTGAAATATACCACCTTGAAGTGGGCTTGTGCTTGTGTTGTTCTACATCCTGCACCATGCGCTTGCAGCACTGGATTGAATTGAATACATCAAACTGTCATTTCTCATGTCTACACCTGAGTGTATGCATGCGTGCACATCATGGAAAGAAACATGTCATCTTACGATTTCCAAATAGTGATGCATGTTAGCGTTGTAAATGCTAATGCTAAACATCACTGGTTTTGCTTGTCAATGACAACTTGAGCAAATCACAAGAGGTTTTCACAATTACAAGAAGCATGCATACATGATGCGGTTGACTTTACGAGAAATTCACACAAACATTTGTTGGTTCATTTCTGTGCATGTCTCCTTTATGTATGGAACGCATCATTAGGACTCTAAGCTTATGATTGAACATGATTGCAATGAAAGAAACCTTAATGAAACGATGAAAGAATCCTGAATGAAGGTATGATTGTATGCTAACATCACAAAAAGTGAAAGCTCTCAACAAAATTAACCATCCGTGAAAGTTCAAGATTGCGCGCACTGGCTGCAATGGACTTCGCGAAGCAAACCTAGAAAGTAAGACATATTGAAGTGCGCATGTTCATCACGGTACGCTGAAAGGAAAAAAATTGTTTACGTGTATGAGATTGCTCTCAATCACAGCGTCAACTTTGTGAACATTCCATGGATTCATATTGCTCTTTTTATCATTATAATGTTGAATTGAATAATGCTCATGCATAGTGCAAAACTCGACTTCAAAATGTCACAACCATCGAAGGTGTTGGAGCTTTGAATCATCGAATATTTCCATGCTTTCTGTTCTTTGTCACTGTCCGAAAATAAGCCTGAGACTATTCATATTAGCATTTTAACCCATTGCAGCAAGAAAATTCGAAGGCTGTCGATCACTGTTGCATTCGTCGCTCCTAGTTTCCATCAAACGACGAAACAAACCTTCTCCCGGTAGATCTACTGGCAAAGTGCCATGTAGGGCTTGACAACGGTCTTGCATGGCACGATACGAAGAGCTTCCTTGTCAAGATGCGCCATGTTGCAGTTATCTGTAACTCAACCTTGCACAGGCCGTGAGCGTGTGTAAGGCATGAAACTCAGGAGGAAATAAATTTCGGAGGAGAGCAGAGAGATCCAGAAGCGTTGTAACTGAGTGAGCTGAAGAATGGAGAGCGAAGAGTACAACTTGCAAGGGCAGACAAAGGCCCGAGGGAGGAGGGGCAGCTCAGGGGGAAGCGTGGAAGGGGAGGGAAGGCGTGTGCCCCGGCTTCAAAATTTAAAAAGCCATTAATAAAAAGAATTTGGACATGACCCTGAAATATTACTAATTAAATTTCAGGTATAGCTGAAAATCGTCGTATGACCCCACTTTCCGCACCCACTACCCTCCAGACTACAACTTCCACAAAAGAGGAGGCGGAGAGCGACGACATAGAGCGTCGATCTCTTAGCTTCCTGTTCATAGCACTGAGTAAATTCGCAGAGATGCACGTGCTGGCCTGCTCGCTGACGGTGGACAAGAAGGACCGACTGCGGGTGGAGATGAGGGAAGATGACGAAGAAGAGGAAGACATGGAAGAAGAGCAAGGCGAGGGCGAGGAAGAAGACGGGACGAGCCCGTACCGAGCTTGAGCTGGGCTCAAGGTAAGGAGAGAAGGTAGGAAGCAATCGAAGGCCGAGGGGAGGAGAGGCAACTTTCCCGACTGAGGCTGAGGAAGCTGAATGGAGGAGGAGTAGGTGGCGACCGAAGGCCAAGATAGCTTCGGCTTGAGTCAAAACCACTTGATTGAAAGTTCCAATATAAAAGGCCCGGTTACTCACTCCGATCTCCGATTGGCTTATTTTGCTGTGAGGTCTGTACAAGGCATTAAAATATAGTGCGATATATGGCAGCGACGTCGACTTCGAAGCAGATGCTGGTGAGCGAACAAGGTGGAAGGAGGAGAGGGAGACAGGAGGAGGAGAGGGAGGCAGGAGGAGGAGAGGGAGGCAGGAGGAGGCAGGGGGAGGAGAGGGAGGCAGGAGGAAGAGAGGGAGGCAGGAGGAGGCAGGGGGAGGGAGGGGGAGGAGAGGGAGGCAGAAT